TATATATATGTATATATTATATATATATATATATATATATGTTATGTATATATATATATATAGTATATATATATATATATAGTATGATATATGTGTATATATATTTATATATATGTATATGTTGTATATATATAATATTATATATATATATTTATATATATATATATATATATATATATAATATATATATATATATATATATATGTGTGTGTATGTATTGTATATATATTATATTGTATATATATATATGAATATATATATATTATAGGTATATATATATATATATACTATGTACATATATATATATATATAATATATATATATTATATATATAAATATATATATACTTTATATTATATTTATATGTATGTGTATATAAAAGATGATTCTAAAAGGATTTCCTAAAAGATGATCTAAATATCATCTGTAGTTATGGTAGTGTATCACTCTATATTATGATACGAGTTTCATACCAAATTAAGAATGCATAAACAGAACGGATAGAAATATGCAAGAAGACTTAAACATCTATATGTATTTTGTTGACTGAATATATGAATAGGTCAAGTTTTTATGAATGGGTGTCGTTGAATACTGCTGGAATGGTAGGGTACCAATCTAAGGACAAGGAAAGAGTATTCAATGTTAAAGATTACAGCAAGATAAGATACATGGTAGTACAATCATGTCTTTTAATCTGTTATTAATGATTGTAATAAGGCTTAAACATCATAAAGTATTTTTGTACATTACACTTGCATCAGCAATATAAATTGCCTTTTATTTTTAGCGATGATGGTTCTTACACCAGTTTTACCTTTTACACACAGAGTGAAGACTGCGCCATGTGCCAGAGAAAGAAAAAACAGTCCCTAATTCTGCCCTTCCATCGGGCTCCAAAATTCTTGCGGTTTAATCCCTACATCAAGAAGGGGTACCGGGCAAATCTCTCCACATTTGAATGCTTCCGAAGGTGGTTTTTTCTATTTGTTTGTTTGTTTGGTTTTCATATTTAGTGAGACAGACAGGTAGACAGGGGGGAAGGAAGAAGGAGAGAAAGACAGAGAGAAGAAAGAGACAGAGAGAGAAATGACAGAGAGAGAAAGTGACAGAGAGAGAAAGAGACACACAGAGAGAGAAAGGAGACAGAGAGAGAGAGAGTAACAGAAAGAGAGAGAGATACAGGGAGAGAGATAAAGAGACAGGGAAGAAGATAGAGACAGAGAGAGATATAGAGACAGAGACAGAGAGAGACAGAGAAGAGAGAGAGACAGAGACAGAGTCACAGACAGAGAGGATGAAAGAGGAGAAACAGATAGACAGAGAGCCAGATAGGGAAAAAGGTAGAGATAGGTATACAGACAGACTGAATGAGAGAGAAAGATAGAGAGCAAGAGATAGAGAGGGTGAAGGGAGAGTGAGAGAGGCAGGAAGAGAGCAACAGAGACACATAGATAGTGAGAGAGAGTAAGAGTGAGATAAAGATAGAGAAACATAGAGACAGATTAACCAAATGACTGACTTGACTGACTGACTTACTGACTGACTGATTTCACTGGCTAACTGACTGACTGATAGATATATAGACAGGTAAAGGCACAACAGACCAGGTATAAAGACGTGTAAAAACACTTGTATTGATAGCAAGCATTTTATAAGAGTAAACACTTAATAATAACTGCATGATCATCTGATCTGAATGTTTATTGAATTACAGTAACGGATTAGTAATTGAAATGCAAAAGATTGACTGTTGCTGTTGTGAAATTCAGAAATACATTCAATAAAAAATTGTAGCTTCAGCCTTTTTTGAAAGATAAGACGCACAGCCATTGTACGAGTTGGTGTCTAGAAAACAACAGGATTGCTGCTCTATGGATGCTTTGCTGCTGCAGATTCTTAGCAGGTTATTAGTATAATTATTATTTTTTGTGGAACTGGATCTCTGTTTAGAGTTGGAGATGATGCAGTTCCGGTCACAGATATGGATGGAAGAGGGCTATGCTCCTGCAAATAGGTTTAGATATATGCTGATGCTTTAGTCTGGTTATAATGGTTGTAGCAAGTAGCTAGTTGCTAGTATTTTGCTGGAGCAGTCCTGTTGTTTTCCAGGTAACCACTTTGTAAATATATGTATATGAATGTAAATAAATGCAGGTATGCACTTTCAGTGGCATGTAGTCACAAAAGGCCATTTATACATTCATTCTATTATTGTTGCATACAGATGCATGCTTTCACACACACACACACACACACACACACACACACCACACACATACACACACACCACACACACACACACACACACACACACACACAACACACACACACACACACACACACACACACACACACACCACACACACACACACAACACACACACACACACACACTTAACTCAGTTTCTCTCTCTCTCTCTCTCTCTCTCATCTCTCTCGTCTCTCTCTCTCTCTCTCTCTCTCTCCTTCTCTCGTCTCTCTCTCTCTTCTCTCTCTCTCTCTCATCTCTTCCTCGCTCTTCTCTTCCCTCTTTCCTTCCTCTCTCTCTCTCTCCATCTCCTTCTCTCTCTCTCTCTCTCTCTCTCTCTCTCTCCTCTCTCTCTCTCTTCTCTCTCTCTCTCTCTCCTCTCTCTCTCTTCTCTCTCTCTCTCTTCTCTCTCTTTCTCTCTTTCCTCTTCTCTCTTCT